CATTTCCGCCAATTCCAATAAAACTTGATCATCAAATAAAAATCGGAGGAAGAATTTTGGCTTTCATATTTGTTGAAAAAGTGGTTGTTGACTTTATTTCCTTTATCGGATCATATAGAGAGTCGAACACACCCTGTACAGTACGACTACATTGATAAGATGCTCGTTCCATCTGTGTAAGAACTGAGCCTCTTGATTATAGGGTGTGATTGACAGCGTGCTTGAGAGATTGACAGGTGATTGCACGGGTACTGTAACTTTTGTAACAGCTGTTACAACAAAAAACTGAGAAGAAAATATCTTTCATACAGGGTGTCCGCTAAAAGGAGGTCAATCCATTAACCATATATTCCTTGAACAAAAATAATATGAGTTTCTAAATACCATTTTTCATTTTAGCCCTTCTTATTCGATATACAGGGTGTCAAAGTCGAAAATTGAAAACTGTTTTTTTCTAATTACTCGCGTAATTAATAAGATATTAATCTCAAAATAGGTACATTACTTCAGCACAAAGATTTACATCGTGTGAGGAAAACGAAACAGAAAATAACTGTCAAATATTCAAAATACTGGGGGTCAAGTACACACTTACCCCCATATTTTTTTTGTACGTGCGCTAATGACTTCCTATCTATTTTTCTTCATGTGTTCAATCATTTTTGAGTATTTTTTGATTTTTGTAAAATTCCGATAAAATTATTTGTTTTTAAGATAATTCGAAAAGTACTGGTTATTGTTTGATGCCTTGCGGCTTACGGTAATCTCATAATGTTCACATACTCCTATTTATTTCGTCGAAATTGGAAGAGGGCGTATCTTATTACGTACGAAAAGGTGAATATGGAAATACCGGGTGCTCAGAGCGAATGTATTAAAATAATTTTTACACTTTTAAATTTTTTTTTTTGTAAAAATTATTTTAGTACATTTGCTCCGAGCACCCGGTATTTCCATATTTACCTTTTCGTACGTAAAAAGATACGCCCTCTTTCAATTTCGACGAAATAAATAGGAGTATGTGAACATTATGAGATTACCTAAGCCGCATAGGCATCAAACAATAACCAGTACTTTTCGAATTATCTTAGAAACAAATGATTCAATCGAAATTTTACAGGAAACAAAAAATACTCAAAAATGATTGAACACTTGAAGGAAAATAGATAGGAAGTCATTAGCGCACGTACAAACAAAATATGGGGGTAAGTGTGAACTTGACCCCCAGTATCTTGAATATTTGACAGTTATTTTCTGTTTTGTTTTCCTCACACGATGTAACTCTTTGTGCTGAAGTAATGTACCAATTTTGAGATTAATATCTTATCAAATACGCGAGTAATTAGAAAAAAACAGTTTTTAATTTCCAACTTTGACACCCTGTATACCGAATATGAAGGGCTAAAATGAAAAATGATATTTAGAAACTCATATTGTTTTTGTTCAAGGAATATGTGGTTAATGGATTGACCTCCTTTTAGCGGACACCCTGTATAAATAATGTCAATAGACCGTATCTTGTAAGGATCGAGGGTAGTCGTTTATATTTAACTCAATCACTTTCTCAAGTTCAAATGGGCAAATATGAAGTATTTTGCATGATGATCATTCAGAATTCAGTACTCGCTACGCTTGGCTGTAATTTTTTATTGAAAACTCGTCATCACCATTTTGTGGTCATCCAATGTTAGAGTCAATTTTGATTACCAATTTCATTAAAATTACTTGGAACGTTGCTTGCATATCAACAAACTTTTTCTATCTGTTAAGTGTCCGAGAAAAGCCACTTTCCATGCTGCTTGGAGAAATTAGTATATTGTTTAACGAGCACGGAATGATAGTGATTTCCTACGAGAATAGGAAATAAGCATTCGGTGCAAGTTATGCACTATAATTTTTCTACGGCTATAATAGATAACAGCGGCATTTTCGAATATTTTCGGACTGTAGCCATCTGATTTCTCAAGTATTGCTCATCTATTAGACAGAGCTGTCATTGCTTGCAATTTGACATTCCATGAGCGATGAGATTTTTTTATTCCGAAATAATAACACAATGGAGTCATTTTGATATCAGATATACGGAAATAAAATTGATGACATACAAAGTACCTCATTGATGTATCAAACACAGTAGAACAAGAGCAATTTTGTGTTATAGCCGTAAAAAAAACATTTTACACAAAATCTTACACAAACTGTATATTATTTTCCTAATCGGGTAGAGCTCTTTCTTCTGATTTCGGATATATACAGGGCGTAATTTAATTGATGGCGAAGAATATAGGATATGGTTCCTTAGCTCATTTCAAGAAGAAAAAATGATATGAACATATTCCCTAAACCTCTTAACTTTCGAACTATAGGGTGTTAACATTTTATTTTCTCTTTATTGATTTAAGAAACTTTCACAATGTGAAAAACTGTCACGTTTATGGATACTTGTCAAAATAAGACCGCAACTTAATCGGTCAAATGTCATTATATCAAATACAGCACAGGGCATTAGCCTACTATGTTCAAAATAATTTCGTTATGCCACAAATGCATGAAAATTGTTTTATTTTTTACGCGAAAATAGGTTTGTCAGACAGAAAAAAATTAGGTCAAATTGTTGCAAAAAAACTCGCAGAAATGATTTTTATTCTCGTAAAAATCAAGGGCATACAATATTTTTTCCAAAAAATCTCCAGGATACATCCCTTACGTACGCCACTGGTGGAGATATTGATAAAATCTTCTGCATCGAAATATATGCCTATTGGTGCTTAGCTTATAGTAGGTGCATGTTGAATTTCATGAAAATATCTAGAACGGTATTGAACTTATGATGGGAAAGCAATATTTTTCTCAAAGTTTTAACACCCTATAGGTTGAAAGTTAGGAGGTTAGGGCATATGTTTATATGAACTTTTCTTCTCAAAATAAGCTATGGAACCATAGACTCTATTTTCAGCCATCAATTAAATTACACCCTGTATATTATACTTCATTGAGGTTATATCGTCAGTTATCGAAAAAATTGGATTTTTTCGTATAAATCCAAAAATCGGAGCATTGTCCTCTATGGCGTTTTCGGTTCTACACAGCTCGCTACAGAGTGCCAAAAAATTTATATTTTACGAAAACTGACGAAGACAAAGACAATGAAGTATACAATAAAATATATAGTTGAAATTTTCCATTTCCTAGTACCGAATTCTGAATGCCCATAAAAAATATTTCATATTATTATTATTTGCCCATTTGAACGTTTTTGTAAGACTGAGGTAAGCTATTGACCAAAATATAAACAACAACTCAAATATCTAATTTTTCACATGAAATTCATTACAATCATTATCATAATACATTATGTGAGCTGACGCACTAAATTCGAAGTACAAATAAAAAAATCACATCAATCCTGTTTTTTTGAGAAATAACTAAAATATAAATATAGATGCATACTGCATACCTATCTACTTGGTATATATTTTTCTGAAACATAAATGAGACAGTAAATTCAAAAAGTTATTGAAAAACTAAATATTTATCTGAGTAAGTAGGTAAGTATATTCATCTTACTAAAAAACACTTCCAAATACTTTATTTTAATATTGAAATCGTTTCCATCTCAAATGCCAATGAGAAAAACATGCTGAGGATTTATATCTCCAAAGAGCTGATAAAGAATAAATGATGGATGATAAATATGCCCACAAGGGCATTAAAGTCTAAATTTTTCAGTTGTTTGTTGTTATAAGCTGTTGAAAACCATTTTCTATAAATGTCCGCTTCTATTAGCCAACAGTTTGCAAATCTATAGAATTCTTGTCTGTTTACTTATAAACATAAGAAATGCTTTTATTGCAAAACCATATGATAAATATTGAATGTTATATCACTTGTTTGTTTGTGTTTCTGATTGTACCAAATGGCAGCAATATGAATTGAAACTGTATCAGAATGGTCGTCATCTGTTCACTCTGCTTTGATTATAAAAAAAAATTAAAAATAAGTATCTACATGATTTCACAAATAAAAACTCGAGTAAAAACTCGTACCTTAATTGAATAATTCCATTCTAGATTGAAGATGATTGAAGCAAGAAACAAATGATCTGATAAGCAAGTAAAAAAATACCAGAACAGTTTCTAGTGAAATACTAGTTTCTGATTTTTCATGTCTTATGTCTTAGTCATCAACATGTTTTTTGTGGAATCATTCCAATGATTACATGTACAAAATTGAGTGTGCTTAAATCATTTAGAAAAAGAATGAAAAAGCTGATAGTTTTGTATATGCAAAGAACATGTGAACTGAAATAGGATATAGATTGGAATAATCTTTGTGAAATTGGTTTTCAAACACTTTTGAAAAATTGATACCCAATAGAATCTGTGGTCTTTCTCTGATTATTTTCATACATGTTGCTGCTACATGTTTAGAAAAGTTGCTTCCCTGACCTTGTTAGGAATTTCCTGACAATCTTTGAAACACTCTGAATGAATGTAGCTCAAAGTTTGTCGAGAACATTTTTGGCACAAAAGCTAGTTATTAGAAAAATACCAGCACTCCTGTCACCTGCATCAGCTCTTAATTGGTTGTATGAGATAATAATTATAATATAATTGTACATAAAAATACTTGTAATTATTAATATTGCATTGTTTTCATTCATCATTTCCAAGTTCTATTTAAGGTGATGAATTATGTATTATAGAATGTTATACTTTGTTATTTTTAAATTTCATAGTTTTCTTTATTTTTATTGTTAATACAAAAAAAAGAATATCGTCCAAGCATTTATAAGTTCTATAATAATGTTTCACAATTATTTGTTTTTTTTTGTGTAAATTTTAATGCAATAGTAGGTATTACTAAATATAAAATTGATTCAACCACATTTGTTTATGTTCATTTTCTATTGGGATACCATAGTATCTCTTCTATCTATCTATATAGTATAGATAACCTACTAATAAAGCTCTTAAAACATGTGAAAATAATTGGCTGTTGAAAATCTTAAATTTTATTTTATCATTATAAAATCTACAAAGATCTTAAGTTAATATAAAGTTCCATCAACAAAGCTTCCTGCATAAAAAATGTAATTTCATTTGTGGAGATTACAATATCTGCAACCAAGATATTTTTAAACCTATTGTCTATCTTTGATCCATAACAAAATATCAATTACATAAGATTCAGACATTAGTAATACTACTAGGAGATAGGTAGGAAGTTTCACTAAAAAAATATGTATAATTTGAATTTACAAGAAATACTCAAGTATGTCCCTCCTCTCAACCATCCAATTTCCCTTTGATATTAGTAGTGGGAGAAGAAACTAACCCCAGCTCTCCAGACTCCAGCTGCTTCAGCAACCTAAATAATGCTGCTGCCTCCCTTATTCTACTAAACTCAATACAAAAGGCTTGCACCTCAATGAACAACTCCTGAACATTGATGATCTTATTCCTGATCAAAGACTGCAAAAATACACAAACAAGCCTAACCAGTCTGTTCTGCATGTAGCGATCTTTGATAGTTTCACAAGTTGATATGCAATTAGAGATGTACAAATGGACAAATTCAGTAGGCAAGTCCACAGTAGTGGTCAGTCTATTGACTACCTCCATAGAGTGCAGAGACATCTCCATATTTACTAGCACACTAAAGTACTCTGTAATTTGCTTGGACTGCATCAGTTTCAGCAGAACTTCAATGGCTATCAAAGGATTGTTCTCTACCAGATCTGGCAGCTTATTAGGTGAAAGCCCAATGTGGTATACCAACTTGGAATCATTCTCTAACTCACCTAACAATTGTTGCTGTTGTTGAATTGAGAGTGCTGACTTATAAGCTTTATTCATGAGTTGTCTTGCTTCATAACCTGCATCAGGCACACACATGGTGGTGTCATAACAGACATTGTGTTCTTTTGGGGCTGAAGAATTGAACCAGACAAGTTCATCTTGGCAATTTAATAGAGGAGGTGCAAGAGTAACAAATTCAGGTTTGTAAACACGGCTCATAGGTGGGTTTTCCCCAATCACTAATTTCTTTATTATATCACTGTCTTTTACTGCATCTGAGGTATAGTTGTTTGTTGACTTTTCAGGTAAAGGCAGTATCACGGGAATGCCTGTTTTGCAGCTCTGTGGTAATTCAGACTGTTTTTCAGCTAAGGTCAGTTGAATAGATGAGAAATCCACAATGTTTGAAGGTTGTACATCGGCGTTCACGATTTGCATGGCAGTCTTTTTCAACAAAGCATCTTTTGGCATATCAGACATCAATTGTGTTAGAAAACTCTTTTCTTGAGATGATATCTTGGGTAGTTGACCAGGATATTCAAGCTTTGGGGCTCCAACATTGCTCTGCTGTTCAGGGGGATACAACAAGTGGATGAAAACGTTGGCAAATGGGGTGTTAGCTAAAGGTTCACCCCGATAGAGTTCATATAAAAGTGTTATGGCAGCTAATCGCTGTTCTGGTTCGGGCAAAAAGCTGTTTTGAAGTAACATTACGATGCATGATCCTATTTTGAAAAAATCTGAAGAGTCGAATTTTTTTCGGATGTCATTTGACAGGGTTTCCAAGGTGAAATTTCGGACGCTGTGCGGTTCTAGGATACCCAAAAGGGTGTCGCACTGTTCTATTGTTAATGCCATTATCAAACAGTCACAAGAGCTGCATTCCTAATAACTGAGATGATGATGATAACAATATCATGTTTTGCAATTTTTTGATAGCCGGTGATAATAATAACAAAGACAAATAGTGATAAACAGTATAAACACATGCACAAAAACTGAAAAACACTGCAGTTTTAGGTACTATTCTTCTTCGTCTTATTTTTGTTTCCTGGATCTTTTTAGAACCTTTTTCCACATGAACCAATCATACTTGAGGCCAGTAGACGGTCAAGGTAACTGCATCTATGAGACTGTGTTGTGATCGTATACTTTTCGAATTTTTCAAACAGCAAGTCAAGTCAAACAAACGTCAAAACACTCAAAGCATTGTAGACAAAATATTTTTAAAATTCCGTATTCATATATATGAAAATTCCCCGTAATCATATTAAAATACCAGGTGTGTAAACATAAAAGAGATGGCTTGGAGATCCCATGGCAAAACTAATGCAGAACTAGTAAGAAACTTGAAACAAAATGGTATTATTCATAGCAACATAGTAGAATATGCTATGCTGGCAGTCAACAGAGGCAACTACTCAAAAAACAACCCTTACATGGACTCACCCCAAGATATCGGATTTGGGGTGACCATCAGTGCCCCGCATATGCATGCACATGCATTGGAACTTCTGAAAGACAAGCTAGAGACTGGTACAAGAGCCTTAGATGTTGGATCAGGAAGTGGATATCTCACTGCATGTATGGCAGTCATTTTGGGAGAAAAGGGGATAGCTGTTGGAGTTGATCATATTCCAGATCTAGTAGAATTGTCAAAACAGAATATCCTCAAAGATATCCCTGAATTGCTGGAAAGTGGGAGAGTGAATCTCTTCACTGGGGATGGTAGGCAAGGTTACAGTGATTTAGGGCCTTATGATGCTATTCATGTTGGTGCAGCAGCTCCCACATTACCTCAAGCTTTGATTGATCAACTGAAAGTTGGAGGTAGGCTCATAGTTCCAGTAGGACCAGCTGGTGGGGACCAACAACTTGAACAGATTGACAAACTGACAGATGGAAGTATTTCAAGAAAGACTCTCATGGGGGTTGTTTATGTACCTTTGACTGATAAGGAGAGGCAATGGCCTAGACTACGTTGACAAGGCATAGGAATTTTAATTTTTTCCATTTTCTTTTTTGTTTGTCTCTTCAACTATGTTATGTTCTGGTGATATTAAAATAAGTAGATATTGACTGATGTTTGAGAGTTTATAGTTGAATAGGTATACCTTCCACTTGGGGAACTGTCAATTTTATTTTCATTCAAGAATTCCATGTTCATTGTATACTCAATTTTTAGAATACCCTAACAGGATCCTGAAAATGGAGTTTGTAATAAAAACAAGAATGACAATTAGTTTTGTGAATACTGGAGTGAATAAGAGTTTGAATTTTCTTTTTCAGTACATTGTTTATTCAATCCTAGGTTTGAAGACATTTTTTAACCTCTTTCCTTTTTTGATGAATTATAAATAATTTCATTTCATGTTATGAATAAATACTAATTTTTGTGATTGCTTATATTTTCTCCAACTTTTCCCTACCAACTCCCAAAGTAGCACATCACTTTTTAATATATGTTTGGTGTTAAAAGGGGTGTAAATATTATCAGTCATTTCTGGTGCAGTATGTTCATAAGCTCCTCATATAAGTAGGTATATTGAATGAGTTTATTGATGGCCTTTAGAGGGAGCAAAAAGGAGATGGATATTTTTTTTGCCAAGTTATGAATGGTTCTACTTTCATTTTGAATAAGCATACAAATGATCACCATGTAGGTACATCTTGCAGGGGCGATAGGTATACTTTTGGTCACATTTTCAGGGTTATGATTCATTATCATATATATATATGGAAAAAAGTATTGCTTTGTTTATCATTATATTGTTGAACAAATTCAATATCATTCTTGTCTCAGTCCAGTAGTCCACATTGGTGGCATTGTTTCTTTACAACCAAAAGCAGTAAAACGCCAAAGACTATAATATTATGATCAATGAAACAAAGGAATTTCGGAGTCTAAATATTTTTGAATTCCAGGCAAGCATGCATGACTTATTATACCGTCCTAACTTAAGAAAATGAGGTGATAGGTGATGATTGGTAGATTTGAAATTGATTCTTGAATCAACCAAGTAGGTATCACCCATTATCCCCAAGTTATTATATATATGGTAATAAGTCATACATGAATTATCACCATTAATAAACCAACAATATAAAACTTGAAAGTCTTACCGGATGCTTCCATTAGATTTGTGCTATTTGCTTCTAGTAGCTATAGATGAGTAGAGTGAAATTCCTACCTGAAATGGAATTTCCAAATTAACTACATACCTGGTAGTCAATCTAGTCGTACCCAAATCACCAGGCAGCTTGAATACCAGTTTATTATTTACTACATATACCTATCTGAATTACTTGCTCAGTTGCTCATATTTATTTTCACTCAATCAACTCATAATTTTGTTTTCATTAATAATTATTCACTTATGACAATGATAATGATATGAAAGTCATGGTGGAAATAATTCCACCATGATGACAGTTATTATGATTCACGAAAAACGACGCGCACAACGAAAGACACGAGAAAGTCGGCGATGCGATATTGTTTATTGAACATCCAATAGTTTTCATGGCCTGCTGTTAGATATTTTAAGGCCTAAGTTAAGCCTAAGTAGAGATATTGAGTAAATTTTTTTCGTTTGTCAGTTATTTTGAAACAGAACAATAATAAAAGACGTGTTTTTTCCATGCCTTTATTTTTGGCAAGAAGCACTATATTTGGCCTAAGCATTTTGCAATTTGTTTTATATAGGAGCTTCAACAATATAATTGTCAATAGTTATTATGCTTCCAGATATATTATGTAAAATCATGTATATAAGCATTGATTATAAACATCTCATGTATAAGACACTTATTAGCAAAAAAATTAAAAATATCTTTGAACAGAGGTAAATACATAGGTATAATACATATACTACTCATTTTCTTCTTTGAGATATTGAATATGAGAAAAATAATCACAAAAACGGCACCATCTTAGTAATACGGGAAAAAATATGTAAACTTAAAAAAATCATCCAATGATTATATATGAGTTGATATAGGACTATTGAGCACCAGGAAGGATAATATGTCTTCATATTTGGCTAGAAGTAACAAATAAGTCTAAAGTAGGTAACCAAAAATTCTTATCACTAACAGGACATTTATGCTACATGTATACAAGGTGTCCCATGAGTGAAAAAATAACCCTGGGTACCAGGTATACAGGTGAGATAGTTCAAATGGAATATTTTGGAGACATTTTTCCTTGTAGGTGAAAATAGCTAGCAATCACTGAAAACCTCATAAGATGTTCATCTCCAAAAGGGCAGAAATATAAATTATTTGGACTCCCAGTATTGCTTTCACTTCACTTGTACTACTTACTTCAGTTCTAGCAGTACCCTTTGAGACACCTTATATTATGACAAAATTTTGGTGCATATTTATAAGAAATTCTAATAATTATAATAACTATACAGTATACCTATATGTGGCAATGATTTCCAACCATAATTCAACAACTACTTTTCTGATATTAAAAAAATACCCTGCAAGTTTGAAACTAAAAATAAAATGGCAAAATTGAGCAAAAAATTATACATAATATATTATAATATATCAATAACTATATCTTTGGACTGCTGAAATGTAATTTCAACTTTTGGTATTTTTGAGAAATATTAGGGCTTAAGTAGAAAAAAAATACCTACAGGACACATGACAAGAAAATGATCTACTGCAAATTCTCATTGTACAGGGTGATTCATCATAAATGTCCGCCCCCTCTAGCTCTGTTATTTTTGAACCGATTGCAAAATTTTAAATATCATCTAAAATGATATCCGATCGAGTTTTTTTCCGCTGCATCAGAAAATACAAGATGCTCAGATCAAACGATCTACAGGGTACTATTTTTATATATGAAATACAGGATGTTCCATTTGAAAAAATCAAGTAGTACTCTGTAGATCGTTTGTTCCGAGCACCCTGTATTTTCTGATGCAACGGAAAAATTTTATGGAAAATCATTATAGATGATTTTTCAAATAAATAAGTGAGCTAGAGGGGGGGACATTTATGGTGAATCACCCTGTGCTTTGAGAAAAATGTCGATTTAAGAACAAAGTCAGGAGAATATTAGGTATACATAAACATGTTTGCTTGTTTTCTTTCCAATTGAGACAGTTTTTCTGTAATCTCAATTTCAGTATTGTTAATCTGAATAAATCTCACAATATAAGCAATAAGAACTGTCTAAATAACAAGATCACTTGGTGATCATAAAATTAATTCTGAATATTGTACAGTGTATTCTCTAACATCTGGACAACCAAGAAAAATGTGGAAGGAATAAGGAATGTTGATATTTATACCCAAGTATCACAGAACACTCTGTACAGGTGTCAAACACCAAATCCATCAAACATTCTAAAATTAGATTACATAAAATCTTCGATTTTTCAACATCAATTCCAACTCATTACATGGTTTACTTTAGCTACATTAGAAAATATAATCATCTCATTTTGAACACCATATTGAATTAATAATTATAAATGTATAATCTAAAAATAAATATTGATCATAGAATTAATAGGTACAAAAAACTTCATAAAATATATTATATAAACAACTGATTGAAAATAAGACTAAGTTGATCTAAAAATGATCTGAAAGAGAAATTTGACTATGGCAAAATTCCTTAATACTTTCTAATATATCAAACCTAAATAGAGATCAACAGTAATTCAACAATAACTGTGTATTTTTGTCATACCAAATAAATTACTGTTCATATTTTTTTGTATTACAATCTACCCAAATAGTTGCTGTTAGGAATATGTAACTTGTACATGAGTAAAAGTACACAAAGGTACACAGAATAATTCAGCTAAACTTACCCTTGTCTCTTGTCTGAAAATTGATATTGATAACTGCTATATTCCTCTATTATATTAGAATAAACATTGAGTTCTAATGTGTTTTTCTTATACAGTGTGACCCATTTAAGACCGGAGCACCCTCATAAAATCTATAGTTTTTGACCGATTTCTATTTTTTTTTGCAAAATAAAATTTCAATCTACAGGGCATACTATATTATTTTTTCAAGTTAAAAATTGCGAAATATCATAAGCGATTTTTTTCAAAAAAAAATCGACCCCACCACTGAATTCAGCATCTTTCAATTAGGTTGAGCGCGAAATTTCATTGAAAAATTTCAATTTGCAACAAAGTTATAACAACATTAATTTTGATGGCTCACCATTTTTTAGGAATATTTCAGACAAATTCTGAGAAGCGGCAACATTGTCAACAGAAATGTTGGAAATCATCGAGGTTTCTGGTATAGATTTGAATTGATAAAACAAATTATTATTGAGTTATAATCTCTAGAATGGTACCCTTTTGGAATGAAGTAGGTAATGAAGTCGGAAAAACAGCTTTTCATAATAAGTTAATTATCAACGTAAACCAGCTCTTGATGTTTTTGGCTCCTGATATCATCTTACTATACAGACGATTTTCTTACTCTAATTACTTGGATGAACAAGGCCGATTTTTTGACGTTATGAATTTTTCATTTTATTCCATTTTAGATGTTATAACTCGATAATAATTTGTGTAATCAATTCAAATGTATACCAGAAACCTATTGATGATTTCCAACATTTGTGTTGACAATGTTGCCGCTTCTCAGAATTTGAAATAATCATAAAAATGGTGAGCAATCAAAATTAATGTTGTTATAACTTTGTGGCCAATTGATATTTTTCAATGAAATTTTCCGCTCAACCTAAATGAAGGATGCTGAATCCAGTGGTGGCCGGTGGGGTCGATTTTTTTTGGAAAAAATCGCTAATGATATTTCGCAATTTTTAAGATGAAAAAAATAACATAGTATGCCCTGTAGATTGAAATTTCATTTTACAAACTTGTGTAAACGTTGATCTCCATATAGTCTTTCTGCTGAAACAAAAAAAAAGGAAATTGGTTAAGAACCATAGATTTTAGAAGGGTGCTCCGGCATATATCACTTGTGAAACCCTATATATCTTTCAACATCACCATTCAGAAGAGGCAAGCTGAGTTAAATTATGTTATATTACCAATCCACAAAACTCATTGTTGTTTCATATAGCTTGGCTACACAGGGTGAGTTGACACAAAAATGATAAAATCACTTTTAGATGAAACAAGAATAGGAAAATAATTACTGAATCTGAAAATAAAGTTTGTTGGTCTAATGATGATTCACCCTGTGAATATGTTTTTTAGAATAAAAGTACCAGTATCAGTTTATCCCTAAATCTAAGTAGCTAAGACATTTGACTAGAAAGTTGATAAATTATCATCACTATATTGGAATGTAGTAACCAACCTTCTCAAAGCAGAAACATTCATGAAAAAAGGGAAAACAGCTGATGATTCTTTATTTATACAACCCATCTGACTCATCCTTATCTACAGCTCTCTTATACATCAAATTGTCTTTGGATTTCTTCACAAATGAATCAAAAATCATCCTATCAAACAAATATAATCCCACTTCATTTTCAGTCATTTTTGCCTTAGTCAACAGTCTACTCAATTCACAAATTGATCTATTCTGTTCTTCCATAAACTGGGTTGAAATCAAGTCCATCACCTGAAGATCTTTATGCTTTTCAGCTACTTCAAAAACTACATTTAGTTTTTCCTTCAGGGCCTTTTCCATATCAAGAGAAGTAGTTAGGGCATTCACAATGGATTTCCAGTCTTGGTTTTCAGGGATTTCTATAGGGGAAAGGACGACATAACCACCTCTCAGTAAAATGTAGTTCAAGAGGACCATGGCATGACCAAGTTCTTCTTCATACATGTGTGTGAAGAATCCCTGGCAGCCTGTGAGAGCTATATTGGATCTTCCAAAATAACAAGCCATTGATAGATATGTGAATGCTGCATTGAATTCTTCTGTTATGTGACTGTTAATCAGATCCTCAGTTTCTTTATTGAATTGATGACGGAAATCTGGTTTGGGTGCTGGCTTCTTCTTTGCTTTCTCATTTTCATTGCAGAATTTTGACTGAGACACCAAATTTTCATAGGTACTGGAGCTCATGCATTTTTTATTGATACAACTATGAAAAATCCTTTGTAAATGATATGGTGCCAGTGTTTGGCAAAGCACTACAATTTTTGGAACATTTTTTGTCCTCAACTCCACTGGTAAGTGAAGATGTTGTTGAAAAACTTTCTGAAGATTTTCATTTTTTTGTACCCAGGAGAATTTTAGGACTTTGTTTAAATAATTCATTGCTGTTGAAGTGATTCATTTTGTAATGTTTTGACAATGAAGCTGAATTAGATGTCAAATTTTCAAATTTATATTAGTGTCAGGTTTGATAGTTTGATAGGAGGTAGCTTTATGAAAGTGCAAATCAAAATTATTCTATTAAACTTTAACTTTGAGAAGGTTTTTTCACTCATTTGAATACCATTATTTTTTCTCATTCATCTCCCATCAAATGAATGCTGTCTTCAGCAGTATGCCTCAAAGAACTGGGAGTAAGTAAAGAAAAACGATCTTGATAATGGTGGACTTTTGTGACTGACTTGAGAGGGGAAATTTCTGTTCCTTCCCAGCTGCTATGCTTTGGTTTGAGGTCTTCTTTGGCTTCTTTGGCCTGAATATTGAAAACATTCAACTTTAAAAACAATAATGTCACAGAAGTTTCACTCACATTAATTTCTACAGAGATTGTCTCATCCTCTTGGGGAAAACTGAAGGCCTTGAAGTTTGGTGATTTTGGCCAACTGGTAGGAGGGGGACTCCTGATCATGTGTTCATGCATTTCAGGAAGAGAAAGTGGGTCTATGTCAATATCTAAGGACAATTCCTAAAAAAATATATTGATAATTCATGTAGTCTTCACATTTTGAAGCTTCACCTTAGCCATCAAATTTGCATGATCTGATTCCTCCAACTCCAAACTGTCTATCAAACTTTCCCTACTGGCAATGATTTGCTACAACAATAATGTTTATTTGATCTTAACATTATTAATATTATTATTCACATAAGAATTGAATGACTAGTACCTGAATGAATGGATTGTCCTGCCTAGAAGCTCTAAGGTTTTCCATGTCTTGATCTATATTTCTAATACGACCTGGTGTTAGGGTTACTGTAGATAAAGCTGGTGATGGAGGGCTGTTTTCTGGTAAATTTAAGTAATAATCAACAGCTGAAACACTAAGTGTTGAATGTGCACGACCCACTGACCCCACTGTATGAGAACTGCGAGATTCTGGAAAGAAATCGACCAATTGTGATATTGTAAATAATCTAGGTCGTTCCTTATACCTTTCGACACATTATATCGATTCATCGTTCACTTTGAGTCGCAGTATTTGTTCTACCAGGTCCAGCTAGAGCATGTTTTTGAGAAAGATCAACGAGTCATTATTTGGTTTTTTAAGATCCGATATCCACTTCGATATAAATTCACATAACTCCAATATCCATTATAACTTTATAATTCATAAAATTTTGAAATATTATAATCTTAATTTTTTTGAATCAACTTTAGATTGACGTGAAACATGTTTTGACAATGACAATGACAAATGTTTTATTCTTCTTCTTCTTAGTTTCTACGACACAGCAGCCATAATCTGTTCTTTATTAATTTCCATGTCCTACAAAGAGAGCCTGCACTAAATTAATCTTCTCATTTATTTGATGATTTGATTAACTACAAACGATCTACTAATCTTCTTCCATTTCTACTAGCCTATTAATTGTCCACTGAGCACTGAGAGACCCTGGGACCCTGCTCACAATCTGCTCAGCCTGCTGTTGATGAGGTTGATGCATGTTGACAACAGAACACTCAGAACTGCTCAGAACAGACCACACAGACAAATGACAATGATCATTCATTAAATTTAAACTGTCTTCTCAGGGAATAATGAACAAATTCAAGAAAATCAAACTGAAACATGATGAAATTATCAATACAGCTACAAAAAGTGAACAGAAACCTCATCACATACAACAGGATATCTGTGCAACAAGGCCAGCTTACAGACAGGGTCGGAAGCTAACTGCTGTCAAGGTAATACTGATTATTCTATTTACAAATTCTCTGATTAGCAGTTTCTTTCCCTACTTCTTTATTTTTCATAGGTTTACACTATCAACCAAGAATCACAACACCTGTTCATATATGGAGTACCATCTATCAACCTGCGCACAGAGTTGAAGAAACTTTGTTCAAAATATGGTCAAACTTTGTCAATTTATGTTGTACCTAATGTACAGACTGAAATTTTCACTGAATGCTATCATGTTCAATATCAGAGAATACAATCTGCAAGGATAGCAAAGCGACTTCTAGATACACATTCATTTTATGGTGGTGTCCTACATGTATGTTATGCACCTGAATGTGAATCAGAACAGGAGACAAGAGCAAAATTGTTCCAGAGGAAGCTGGATGTTTTGAATAGGTTGCCAAAAAATGTTGAAGTTAGTTGACTGGGACCAAACTTTAAATATAGGTAGTAAATAATAAGTTATTTCATCATGAGATTTATTAACTTTTCAAACATGAATATAAATAAATATTTCCTTCAAGTCCCTGTTGAAAAATTTGTTTTCTAGATAAATATATAACATGATACTGTACACATGCATAAAACTCTTTCAATTTCACCTCTCCAAAGCATAAAATTATCATCAAGCTACATCAATTGATAGTATTTAAATTAGTTTTTATGATATATGTTCATATATTACTATGTTATTAGATAGGAAATTTACATAAGCCATAATTTTATATATTGTGAAGATTGATTATACTAAAGAACAATAGCCAGCACAACCTGACTGTGGTGTATGGTCCTTGTTCCCAATATGTATATTGTCACCTGCATATGAATCCCATAATCCTGGAGTTTGAATTATCTAGAAAAGTAGCACAATCAATGAAATGTAATAGTGTTCTCATGATAAGAACTTAAACATACTTTATGTACTAGTTCTTCAAAAGCTGAATTAACACCATCTTTTGTTTTTGCACTTGCTTCAATATAGAGCATTTGATGTCTCCTGGCAAACTTCATAGCTTCTTCTCTTGAAACTTCCCGTTTTTCCTACAAAATTAACTCCTTGCATTTGAAATTTCAGGATGAATATTCATACATATACCTACCACATCAATTTTGTTACCTACAATCATCTTTATTATGTTACTTTTTGTGGAATATGTTTCAAGCTCATTTAGCCATGTCTCCAGCTTAGAAAAAGTGGCATAACTACTAACATCAAACACTAATATGGCACCCTGTGCATCTCTATAATATGAAGGAGTCAGTGTTCTGAACCTTTCTTGACCTGCAGTGTCCCATATAGCAAGTTTCACTGTGTTGCCATCAATGGTCAGCCTTTTTGTTTTGAAATCCACACCAATAGTTAGAGTTTGTTCAGGATCAAAATTGTCTTCTGTGAAACGAAGTAATAAGCTAGATTTTCCTACTCCACTCTCGCCTATTATTAATATTTTAAGTGTTGTCAATATATCATCATCCATAACTGAAGAAATGCGTTCAATTTTTAATTATGAATCACTTGGCCCCAGATGAACTGTGAAAGATGGTGATTCAGATTACAATACGTAGAGATATTCAAAAATCAAAATTGAAAATTCGCAGACCACTGTTTGCACATATTTTTCCACTATGAAGTCTGTAATCTGTATATTTTTCTTTGATCTTGATTCTGATTTTGAAAGAATAAAAACAAACAACAATAAACGAATGACGAATGATATGAAGAAAATTGACATTCACATCTGTCAATTTTTTATGTCAATCTTATGATTGTTTTGCTATGTTCTTTATATGTGTATGACTTGTATGACTATATCATAAAAAATAAGAGTACACAATGGCAAGTAGGCTAAACGCTGAAGACTTTTCAAATCAAACTTGTCACTTGTCATGTCAGTGACAGGTCACCTCAGGTTGTTTTTGTAGTTTTTCTGTTTCTGACCACAGTCAGAGATCCACAGTTTAGTATCCGAGAGAAAAATAAAATTAAAAAATTGATGAAAGTTGAAGATGAGTGATGAAAAAGCTGTAATCAGTACTTGGGCACCTCAAGAATTCAGATGCAGAGTGTGTTTAGAAACATCTACAAAAATGTATCCTCTTGAAGGACCTATCATAAATTGTGATGTTGATATCTCCACTATGTTATGTTTTTGTACATCTCTTGAGGTACATATGAAATGATTCTACACCTTCTCCAGTTTTATTTCAGAAAGCGTCAATTGTATCCCAGAATAGTTACTTGTATTTCAGAAAACAATTGACAATTTCTGAAATACAATTGAGGCTTCCTTAAATTTATTGGCGCTTTCTGAAATGCAAGTGGAAAAGGTGTAGTCCTTCATATCTTGTGAATTGACAAGTATTACTTGATACTTGTTAGTTTTTACTGCCAGACCTAAGATGGATTACATTTTTCAGATATCTATGGGCAAGGGCCTTCCCTCATTTGTCTGTATACCATGTTTCAAAACAGTTCGAATAGCTTATAACTTCATTCACCAATTCAAAGAAAGTAACAAAAAATTAATGGATGAAAAATTGATCAGGAAAGTTGAAATTTCTGACCCTTTGGAGGTGACAAATAACTGTGGTGGATCCCCAAAAACCTACAAGATCATAGATAGAATTGAGACTAGTGAGGTTAAGAATGTAAATGAACTAGAAACTAACATGTTTCCAAAATCAGAAGTTGAAATATATGGAACAAGTCACATAAGTCAAGTAGATGATTTCCAATTGGTCTATGAGGAACTAGAAGAAAATCTAGATGAACCTAATGGTGCAGAAATCTACAACTGTGAGATTGAACCAGAATTAGATGAGACACCAAACATAAATGAGCAAAACAAAGATGAATCAGTGAATCATGCCAAATCAATTCCAAGAGTAAAAGTAAAAACACGTTTTGCTTGCCCTGTATGTCCAGGAATATATTTTTCTTCCCCTGAGGAGTATTTCATAAACCACATGTTGAAGCATGAAGACACTTCATTCCACTGCAGAAATTGTGAAAATGGAATGATCTATAATGGTACCACCTACATCAAACATTTCAGGGATGTGCACAAAAACCAATGTCCATATTGCAATAAGAGCTGTCCAACCAAACCTGCCTTATATGCCCATTTGAGGAAACATTCCAATATAAAGTACTATTGCAGTCACAGAGGATGTTCCAAAGTTTTCAACAGTAATTTCAATCTGAAAAAACATGAGAGCATTCATTCTCAAGACGTGAAACATGTTTGTGAAGAATGTGGGCTTGAATTCAAGACCTATGACACTTACAGGTATCACCAAAAGAAGCATGGGGGACGCAAATTCTTGTGTACTTACTGTGGAAGGACTTTCATACAGTCTGTTCACTTGAAATATCACATGTGGTTGCATACAGGTATCAAACAGTTCAAATGTGATAAGTGTGACAAAAGTTATACTTCTGTTACACAGATGAAGAAGCATAAGAGAAGACATCATCCAAGTGATAGTGAGGAAGGAAATGAAATATTCTTAGAAGTGAATATCTAAAAGTTATCACATATCTACATGATTTGTATCAATAAAAATACATTATTTCATTCATTGGAATATTCAAATAAAATATACTTGAGTATGTTAATTCTGTGAGTGTACTAACTGAATTGGCACATACCTAGAGTCAAATTCAGAGTGCATGTTATCCCTATGAGCCATCAGATCTAAAATAGTATTTTTGTTAGAATAAAAAATATCAACTTGGTTAATTTACTGAATGAAAGCATAATAATCAAGGATGAAAGAAATGTAATAGTATTATAATAATACATGATTTGATAATAAGTGAATAAAACAACAATGAACCCAGACAGCACAAAGTGATCCTGAGAAAGTTCTTGGAATATTCCCGTGGAAGATTTCGAATATTCTCGGGATGTTCTCACAATCATTTTGCCTTAGTTTTGTCAACATTTTGTAGCAGAGAAATCTCTGAATCTGCTGCAGTGAGTAATTCATTCATTTTGTTCATGACAAAATAAAATTTGTCACTAGAAATTCACAAGAGTATCATCTGCCAATAGATTGATAAAATCATAGGAATGGAACTGAATCATATCGTTGATGTAGCTTAAGAACAATAGTGGCCCTAGAACACTCCCTTGAGGTACCCCATAATCATTTTGCAATGGATGCAGATGAAACTTCATTAATTTTAGTCATTTGTTTCCGTTCACTCAAGTTATCTATCATATCAACGCCAATGCTTTTCATTTTTTTTATTGAAGCATTGCAAATTCAAATTTAATTAAATATGCAAAGAATAAGTGCATAAGGAATAGTATATTACATTCAATAGAGATGGATTCAAATCAAAATTAACACCCCTTTTGCATAAGAACAACTTTTTTTCAGTTCTCATCTTCTTACATGGTATCTTCAATCTTTTTTTACTAGGTTTAGTATTCATCATTATAATTAGCATATTAGCAATCCAGGAAAAGTATACTAATATGATTATATATATGAACACTATGTAACAATTATTCATAGAAGTACATTTTATTTTTTGGTATTGTTCAGGTTGAGTCAGGTCAGGATAAAGTTGTATACCTCAACTATTTTTTGATAGTAGATTACTATATTCATGATGTGCTCACTGTTACTTTGTTCAACTATCAATAAAAGCATTCATTATATTTATTAGGTATATCATTCATTCATTTATTCCATTTCATATTAATTACAAATGGACTGATGTCTAATAATATGTAACATGTTTGAATCAATATGGAATATAATTAATGCAGGAATTATAATAATTTTACTATAGTTAAAAATTACAGAGAAATACAGAATAAATTCCTATTAGGAACTAGATGTCTTAATCTGATGAAAAATCAATTACAATTATCTTTCCAACTTTTGTTTGTTATGTTTCTTCATACAACCCTTGAGATGCTTTGTCAGTGCTGGTTTAATATGAAAGGATTTGGCACAAAGCTCACAAATGTAAGGCCTTTCCCCAATGTGTTTGCTAACATGATATCTAAGATGTACTGCCTGCACAAAAGTTCTTCCACAATATGTGCATAAAAAATTCCTTTTTCCATCATGATGTCTTATATGGTATCTGTACATATCTAATGTCCTGAAAACTCTGTCACACAAGTGGCAAGGGTAAGTCCTTGGTTCTGTATGGGTTAGCATGTGTTTTTTCAGAATATCTTTCAGGAGAAAAGATCTGGTGCAACCTTCAAAAGTGCAGACATATTTCTTATCATTTTGGTGTATCTTTATGTGATATTGAAAGCCATAACCTGAAGACATACGTTTATTACAAATGTCACATTCAAATCTATGCAACTGTTTATAATGTGCTAAATATTCATCTCTTTTGAAGGTATGTTTATCTGGGCAACGAGTACAGGTTATGGTTTCTGAGTGATAGTTAATTATGTGTCTCTGGAATGCAAGGAAATAGCCAAATTTATTATCACATTTAGGGCATTTATAACTAGCAGAGTATTCCACATTTTTTGAATGTTCTGTTTTCAATAGATCTTGTGAATACTGATCAACCTTTTTCTCCACAACCTCTTCAACCCTAACATTTTCATTATCTGAATAATCACTCTCTTGAATTTCATACTCTATCTGGGGGGAAGTATCATGTGCAAAATCTTGAATATCATCCACTTTGGATTCTGTCAGGTTCTGCTCATTGTCATCATTGGAAATATATTCTTGATTTATTTCATTCTTAACTTCTTGATCAGATTCTGTGAGTAGTTTGTTTACTTTTTCTTGTGTTTCTTGAAATTTCAATAGAAAAAGGTATGCAATACGAATTGTTTTGAAACATTGCAAGCAAATCAAGCTGGGCAATTTATCACTGAGATTCAACTGAAAAATCAAAATTCATGTGAATTTCATAATTGTTGTTGATATCATTTTTACCTTAGATGAAATGCAATACTCCAACATAGTGGCAATGCTTACATCCACATTTAGAATGCTTCCTACAAGGGGATACATCTTATCAGATGGCTCAAAACATGACCTGCATAACTCCAGTGGCATGGCCATTTTCACAAATGCAATATGTGACACCCCTTTCTGTTGAATGTTTATATTTGAACTCTGAACTGAATAATCATTCCTTTCCTATCCCAATCAAGCTGACGCTATTTCCAAGCACAATTGCCACAATCTCATCGTTTTCCAACCATCAGATGTTGAAATTTAATGCATAATTCAAATCAAAACAGTTTAAACTACACATTTCAACGAGATTTCAACATTATCATCAACCTCAAATAATTTTTCCGTTGTTCACCATCTACCTCTTCTTGTTTCTTGTAAATGAAAAAAAGTATATGAGGTGATTCTTCTTCATATTTTTTGACTCCTTGTCAGGTAGGGGACAAATAGCCAATAGGCTACAATCAAATTTTATATACCTATTTTTATCTTGTCATTATAATGAAAGGCAATTTAATTATGAGAATAAAGGGATTTAAAAATACCAGGTCTTCAACATTGATTGAAAACTACGGAAGAAAGTAGATGGTGTACTTCGAAATTCTTCTCGACAATCTCGACCTACCGAGAACAATGGTATCGGGAGGAAGTTTCGGGGGACTTCTCGTAGATGGCGACATTGCACAATTATGACCAAGGTTGGTAGAACATAACTATCTTGTATCATCAGTTCTACCAACCTTGAATTATGAATGCCAACATGAGTGGAAAAACTACGCCGCATTGAAAACGGTCACGAGGCTCTCAATCATTGTTGGAGACCCGTTAGAAATAACACCAGAGGTGCTTTCATACCTCGCACTATAAATTAAGCAAAATATTTATTTTTCTAGACTTATTTATAGCATATAAAAGAATATTTCATTCAAACTGAAGGTGGTTTCTCAGTTCCAGACGCAATTGAAGCTGCATCTATCTCCCTCCTTTTTTCTAATAAATATCTCATAACAATTCTTTCGCTCTCATCATCGTCGTCTATTACGATAGCTGTGTGAATGCTAAAATTCTCTCCATATTCTGTATATGCAGGACCATATGATGATTTGTTGCATCTATATATCTTGTACGGAAATTTCCTTTCCAAAACTAAAATAAGGAACATATGGAAAAGCTACACTAAGGACGATAATGGCTTTTATGGACCATAGCACCGAACAGAAACGTTTCTGTTCGATGTAATAGCGCAAAAGCGATAGCGTCCATAAAAGCAAGTCACGCCTGAAATACATACATTTTATGCGCCACCCATATCGATTTTTCATTGTGCTTTAGTGAGGAATATCATTGATGGAATCGACGTTGCCATGGTAATTCAGTAATATTTTGAAATTAATGTTGGTTATCATTTGGAGTCGATCCACAGAACTCATAATCTTTATTTATATTCCCGGGAATTAGCGGGAATCAATATTACCAGGTGGCGATCGGTTTTCATCGTTCCATGTCAAAGTCACGTCGAAACTGGGGGAAAACAAACTCAATCCTCACTCAATCGTGCTCAATCCCATTAGTGTCATTAGCTTGTGTACTGTGTACTGATAAAAGTGGTAAGTTTCTAAATTTCTTGACATTAATTGTCAATATTCGATCGAAAACGCTAATAATGCCTGTTGTAGAGGTTCTTTTGGCAGATATTTTGCTCTATTTAGATGGAAAAAGCCTGCCAGTAGTGGAAGGAGAAGCAGTTCTCCGTGCTAATCATGTCATTTTGTGTGAGGCAGAAGACTTCAACAAAAGGCACATTTTTGCACTTTGTCTACAAACTTCGGCGATGAAATCTTCCCCACATGAAGTAAAATTGAAGTTGGGGTCCAGAGGAACTCCTGTAGAACACTAATAAAAATGTGATAATGTAAAAAAATTGACCAACTCAACCATCATCACTACCAACAGTGCCAACACTTTATGCATATATCTTTATGTCATTGACAAGTTTGACTACAGCTACAGCAAGTTGAATGCAATGAAGTCTATGCACTATGCAGTCTATGCATATGAGTCTATGCAGTTTGTTTTCCCCCAGTTTGAAGTTCGTATTATGTAACCTAGATGTCGCCCACTACGTGAATCTCGGGAATAAGATTTATACATCTGACATTTGGCTTTTATTATGACTAGAATGCGAATCCAATATTACGGACGAACAAATCATAATAGCATGCATCCTGCTGCAATATATTTCCAGAAAGAGTAGTGGTGTGTAAATTTGTGATGTAATGTAAATGGACACCAGAATGAGAAATTTGGATGATATAAGTGAATAAATAAGCTGCTCTTTTTTTGCATTCTACATGTCTCATCTTATGGTGGATTTATGCACCAGTTTTAAGTTTTAAGTTCTAAGTCGTAAGTAATAAGTCATAAGTCTTAGCTTAGGAAGTTCAGTCATTGCATTTCAATATAAATGTTCATACACGTGTCATAAACAGTAATAAGTTTTGGTAACTACCCTTCACACACAATAGTGTGAACATCTCTGTGTGAACTAATCAAACTTTAATAAACTTTCTTGCAAAATACAATCTGTCGTTTTTCTTTTCAACTGACAATCCCTTTTTTTTTTTTTTTTTCGTCAACCTGACATCATACCCTCGCACACTTTACCGTTACCAGTTTTAAGTCCTAAGAAAAGTTGGCCAACAATCATCTCTTACGACTAACGACTTAAAACTTATGACTAATTTGCTCTGCGCATGAGTCGTGCTTCATACCATTTGTAATCTTGATTTTGTTTACATCTGTTTTAATCAAATCGAATTCAAACTGCTCACGGTTTTTTGTCTCCGTCCGCTTCGCGTCGGGAGACAACACAACCTGGAGCTGAATTCTACTACTTGTTTCCCTTGTATAATAAATAACTATTTCGACTTTTCAGAAATAAATTCAATGACAAGCAGTCTCAACTATCGTAAGTGGCAGCTAATGAAACTGGCAATATTTCATTGATCGTGTTGTAGACAAACCAATGGAAATGCAAGACCTACGTTTCAGTAGTGTCACTTTACGCCCGCAAAACCGGGCGGTAAAGTGTTACTTTACGCCCGGTAGTGCATAATAGTTATTTATGTATCAAGGGCGTAAAGTAGGCGTTTATGGCCTGTGGCGTGAATAATGGCCCGATGGCGCTAGCCGAGGGCCATTACACGCTCAAGGCCATAAACGCATTTCACGCACGTGATACATACAAAATTTTATGCACTAGTGGTTTATTTTCTGACTCAAAAGTAATGACTATAGATATCGATAAACTAATATTTCCCCGAATTTGATTTGTTGCGTATTAATTCAGTAATCAAGAGAAGCGTAATGTTCATGGATGATTTACATATGAAAATTATCGTACGAATATTGCAATTATCGTAATAGTAAAACTCTTTGATCTCTAGAAGAGATTCATTCTTCAGAATTTTACAATATGCATACCCAGTATATATACCTAACTAATTTTGACGTTGTCAATCAAACTGATGGTTGTTGTCTATATCAATACATCCAATAAACGAGCTGAATTGTCATTCTTTGACTGAAAAGTAAAAATTAGTGATAATAATAATAGCGATAGATATGGAATCGGATAAAGAAGAAGTTTATGATATACCGCTGGATATATTAGAATGTAGGAAAATGATCATAGGTTTTTCATTAATTGATATGTGGATATAAGGTAACTGAGAACAGCGGGCGGTAAAGTGCACTTTACGGCCCGTGGGCCATAATGAGCCCGCGGGCGGTAAAGTGCGACTTAACGCCCGCAAAACCGGGCGGTAAAGTGTTACTTTACGCCCGGTAGTGCATAAAATCAATTAACGTTTCTCCACAATAAGTTGATATCAGTAAGTACATACTTTTTGCGTCGGGTTTCCTGTCTGCTATCTGCAGAAAACAACCCATTCCTGGAAAAATCAATCGATCTTTTTCTAAAATGCACTTCGTTTTGTCTTCCTGATCACCTGAAAGTTTATTAGATAAGATAATCAAGAAAAGGGAAACTAGGTATATTTTCACCCCTACCTACAGCTTCAACTATACGAGGTGGAGAAAAACTTCAAATATATCTTTTGGCAAACCTCAAACGAATAAATTCGAATTGCAAAATGATAAAAAGTTCATATCAGTTTTTTATTAAGAAACACCCTGTATATTTCCAACTCTAGTGAAAGATCTTTTCCTTCTGTTCACAAATAGATCTAGTTTGCGAATGTTTCCTCAAGCCATTTTTCACTTATTTAGCATTGATTCAAATTTTCCAATATCATTTAGATGGCTGTGGACACAACAACCAGAAATGACATTTCAACCGGTCTTTCAATTATAATGGGTTATTCCCTAGTAAGGAAAAAATACGAAATGGTAAGATTATATAATGAAAATCTTGCAAAAATTTCAGTAGTGCAGCAAGAATTCAGTCGAAAACGGCTTGTCAACAGATTCATTTAAAAAACTAATTTGGACTCTCGTCATTGAAGTCTCGTTCATTGTACTCAGCTTGATTTTTTACGTCATTTTTTTTCCTCAGCCATTCAAATGGAAACATTTTTTGATTAAGATAATGTAGGTCAAATCGGCATAACGCCAATTATTTGTATGTATGTACATTTTCTAGGAATCTGTATAGAACACTACTCCAGTTCACTCATTTGAAGTTGCCCATAATTTACATGATATTCATCAGCCCACATGGGTTCTAATTCATCTAATTCATCAACAAAATAGCAAATTTTACCAAATGATAGCTACTCACTTAATATAACAGGTCCCGTTTCAAGCCAAGTAGTTTCGGCTCGGGGGGCATCTGGAATGATAAGAATTTATGTAGATCATAATCGCCAAAGAAAATAAACGTACGCCATCTACGTAGTTCTTGAAAGCTGTCAAAGCGGCGTGTTTACTTCATTTTCTTTGGTTCACATTTGTTTTTTGATAGTGCTTATTGGTCATATCATCAAAACAAACCGCTCAGTAGTGTTCAAGTTGTTGCCGACAAGTGGGGAGACGTGTTATTTTCTATCGAGAATAGCAATGAAAACAACATTCATAACTCTAGTTGACATCATTGAAGCATCATCTGGTGATCTTAAAATTCACCAATAGCAACATTGCTACCACTACTTTCATGAGATTATGTTGAAAAAAGGGGAAGACCACTGAGAGAAGAAATCCGTGCAAACCTCTTTCAATCGACAAATCATGATTCACGTTTGATGTACAATTAATATTATGAGTTGAAGTTGGAGGGAATCGAATCTATATCGTTATGAAATCAGCATATTATTTCATTCGATATTTCAAATAGCCAAATATGATGGTGGAGCCGTGACGTATTAGTCCCAAGCTGTAGCTATCTCTCTCTGATACCTCGTCATTTTGCAGTGTTGCAGTGTGATTGGTCAGTTCAAGGACAATAGGCGTGTTGGGACTAACGCGTCGCACCAGTCACACCAATGAATTGACAAAATCTCAAATAGCACAGGAATTGTGTGTTTTGAAATGGACATGTTCTAATTTATTTTTTTCACCGTCTTAGCATGAATGACAAAATTCAAAATTAATTCACTGGTAGTTTTTCATTAGAGTTCACGATAATGTCGTTTTAAAAAATCAGTGGTCTCCCCCATTAGGAAGTTTCTATGGAATAAATTATCATAGAATTTCATTATTCAACTACCTAGTATGAGGTTTCTGATGTCTAGAATGCCTATCCAAATCATTCAAATTATTTTAATGATTTATTTATTATTTTATTTCCCAAATACAGCAATTTAGAATTATTAATGGAGCAGACCATGATGTAAAACCTAGAGTGAGTAGATCAAACAGAGTGATGACAATATACCTCCAAATGGCTGCCGTTTCCGGAATGTCATTCGTGTTCAATTCACTGTATAGATAAAAATCTGGAGACTATCTCCCATGCAGTAATGCATTTGCGCCTTCAAAGTGCCCACCTGCTTTTAATTTCATCATCTGAATAATCCGATACTTCCAGTCCCAGAAGACGGATTCTCATAGTTAATATCCAAGGTACTGACGTATAGAGTTTATGTCTGATTGTTGGATGTCTTGTGCCCAAAGAGCGATAAACAATGACAAAGCGTTGAGTGAAATAGAATGTGTAGAACTGGTGGATGCACCTCCATATTAGAGTTCTGACACTGTAACCAATGTACCTGACAAAATGTAATCTGTATATACAGAGTGACCCAGTTCTAATGGCAACACCCCTGTTTCTTACGTAGTCGTTGGGTAAGGATCCTGAAATTTGCTGATGCGAGAGATATTCCAAAAATGCACTCTATGACCAAGTGGGATCATCTTCAGTGATATACACTGCTCGCTTCCTCAACGATTACGTGAGATACGGGGGTGTTTCCATTAGAACACTGTATGTATATTCTTAATTTTTCTTTTTTTAATAGGCCATGTTTTTTGAAGTAGGAACTAGTAAAAACTTCTATTCTACCAGGTAGCTGTGCGTACATGGCTTTTCTAAGTAGTGCGTCATGAAAATAGTGGAAAAAAAGAAACTATACCTTTATGAATTCTTTGTGAGCTCTAATTTGATAGATGAAATGAAAAAAATTAGTTCAATGAATTCTCATAAACTATACAGGGGAATGGAAATTTGCTCATTACTATGTTCATGCCACCGAGACACTACTTACCAAGACCCAGCCTCTTCAAATGAGGCTGGATAGTCTTCTCATAGTAAATCGACCCGTTGAGCCAATCGGGACTCGCGACCAAATTCAGGGTCGGCACCGCCACTTGCACGAGCCTCTTCCCTGCCGCGTGCTCCGCATAGAAATACCGCTCAAAGTGTCTCTCGCACACCACATAGGAGCGGTGCACCTCGTGTCCGTTCAGGTGATCCAGGGATTCGTTGGCGACTAGGCGCAGCCACATTTCGAAGCGCTCCGCTTCATTATCTGGATGGGGGAACTTGTGGATGAGGGCTTCGGGGCCCTTGTACAGGGTGACGCAGTTTTCCACTGCACACAGCATTTCGAACTGGAACGAATAGAGTGACGACAATAGACCTCCAGATAGCTGCCGTTTCCGGAATGTCATTCGTGGTCAAATCACTAAATAGCTAAAAATCTTGAAGGTATCTCCCATGCAGTAATGAAATTGCGCCTTCGAAGTGCCCACCTGATGTTAGGTTGAGATATTTGATATTTTCATCTCATCATCTGAATAATCAGAGATCTACGAGTCCCAAAAGACGGATTCTAATAGTTAATATCCAACGTACTGGCATATAGAGTTTCATGTCTGATTGTTGGATGTTTTGTGTCCAAAAAGCAAAAAGAAAACAGAGATAAAGCATTGACAAAGCGAATTAGAATGCGTAGAACTGAATGGAGAAAACAAGACAGTCACCTCCATATTAGAGGTCATACTAACCAAAAAGTGTACCACTATTGCCGTCGATTAGGAAACCTAGTATATTCTATTTGCAATCAAACAACTCAAAATGAAAGCAACTGAAAGAGAAAGGAAGAAAGATCCAGGAATTCGTTGGCGACTAGGTGCAGCCACATTTCGAAGCGCTCCGCTTCATTATCTGGATGGGGGAACTTGTGGATGAGGGCTTCGGGGCCCTTGTACAGGGTGACGCAGTTTTCCACTGCACACAGCATTTCGAACTGGAACGAATAGAGTGACGACAATAGACCTCCAGATAGCTGCCGTTTCCGGAATGTCATTCGTGGTCAAATCACTGAATAGCTAAAAATCTTAAGGGTATCTCCCATGCAGTGATGAAATTGCGCCTTCGAAGTGCCCAACTGATGTTAGGTTGAGATATTTGATATTTTCATCTCATCATCTGGATAATCAGAGATCTACGAGTCCCAAGAGACGGATTCTAATAGTTAATATCAAACGTACTGGCATTTAGAGTTTCATGTCTGATTGTTGGATGATTTGTGTCCAAAAAGCAAGAATAAAACAGAGATAAAGCATTGGCAAAGCGAATTAGAATGCGTAGAACTGAATGGAGAAAACAAGACAGTCACCTCCATATTAGAGTTCATACTAACCAAAAACTGTACCACTATTCCCCTCGATTAGGAAACCTAGTATATTCTATTTGCAATCAAACAACTCCAACTGAAAGCAACTAAAAAAGAAAGGAAGAAAGATCCAGGAATTCGTTGGCGACTAGGTGCAGCCACATTTCGAAGCGCTCCGCTTCATTATCTGGATGGGGGCTTCGGGGCCCTTGTACAGGGTGACGCAGTTTTCCACTGCACACAGCATTTCGAACTGGAAGGAATAGAGTGACGACAATAGACCTCCAGATAGCTGCCGTATCCGGAATGTCATTCGTGTCCAAGTCACTGAATAGCTAAAAATCTTAAGGGTATCTCCCATGCAGTGATGAAATTGCGCCTTCGAAGTGCCCACCTGATGTTAGGTTGAGATATTTGATATTTTCTTCTCATCATCTGGATAATCGGATATCTACGAAAGCAATTAGAAATAAAGGAAGAAAGAATGATAAATCCAGGGATTTGTTGACGACCAGCCGCAGCCACATCTCGAAGAGCTCCGCTTCCTTATCTGGATAAAGGAACTTGTGGGCGACGGTTCCTTGTACAGGGTGATGCAGTTTTCCACTGCACACAGCATTTCAAATTGGAACGAAATTGGAAGTTATAATTTTTACAAAGTCACTTGTTTGCAAATCCTTTGATAATCTGCTGCCAACAGCGGCGAAGAATAATACATAATTTTTCAATTTACTCGGCCGTTACTTCGTGGAAATCCATATAGTAAATGTAAAAAACTTCATAAACGAAAAGATTTCCACAAAATTCTCAATCACAGGACATTCACATTTTTCGGGTGAAATACTGGATTCCCTTTCGTGCGCTCCAAGCGATAAAAAAAAACTTACATTGACTTATTTTATATCCTACTTTCCCAACCTAAAGGATTGAAATTACTTGTGGAAAGGTTTGATAACTTGAAAGGGTTGATATAAAAAAAATACATATTATTACCTACTGAGAAAACCTCAGACGAATAAAATTTATTCGTCTGAGGAGAAAACAAATTCAACAGCGGTGAATTATTGTTAAGTAAAATATTAGAATTTTTGCGTTTGTTGATTTCTAATGATTTCAAATGATTGATGATATCAACCCTTTCAAGTTAATCCGGTACCCCGAATTTTAATGTAGACATTTGAAATAATTAATCATACACTGAACCCATTCCACAATCGCTAAAAATTGTTGAAAAAGAATCAACAATTCCGGACACCCGCCTTGAAGAGAAAACTGAAACTGGGGGGAGGGGGGGGGGAGGGGGGGGAAGGGGAACAGAAATTGGCAATAAACTGTCTAAATCAATCAATATTTCACTCACATCTATTTCGTTTAGAATATCAGCATCATCACATTTTGAATCTTCTCCATCCTTATGCAAATCTTCTTGAGAATTGTTATCTGCCGAATTCTGGATAGAACCAGAGGTAACACCCATCACCACGTACTGGGGTGGATCTATATGTCTAGAGCGTCTGTATTGTACAGGTGTTGTCGACGGGTCTATTAAGCGGCCATTTTTGTCAAATGCTTTTTCGTCGAAATGTTTGCTGCATATTTGGTAGCGACTTGACAAAGGCCCAAAGTTTTTATAGCCGCAAGCTTTCAACCATGCTCTATATCTGAAAATGATGAGGATTTCAATAGATAATTTGGTTGGAATACTGGCACACTGGTGGACTTCAGTCTACTTGTGCACTGTATTCAACTCGTGCTCTGAAGATAATTTTATTCATTGCAGTTACATATGAATACATTTGACACTCATTCAAAACATGTCTGTTCTGCTCTCAATAAAAATCATTCCATGATATTCTTCAAATGGAATCTTATATCAATGGAGAAGCGCTGATAAAATTTAAGTACATCCTAGTTTAAAACCATTTACAATTCTACTTCATTTCCTGGGGCTGGGCGATAGAATGGCACCCGAGTTTTTATTACTTATAATTGTTGAAACCAATTTGGTCAATTAAAAAAAAGCATTGCAAAGCTTTATACAGAGAATTTTCATGTACTACTATTTTCAATATTTGTAAATAGATAGAGCCATTGGCTATTTTCAGAAAGTTTGTTTCACCAACTTACTGGGAGCTTTTCACAGGAAAGTGTAATAATGGATTTGAAATAGATGCTTTTGATTTACACCCCCTATAAACACATGTGTTTGGATGAATCCTCATTGGTTGTGGGATACTCTCAGATATAAACTGCACCTAAAATAAGAAATTTGACCGAACATAATTATGCCATAAGTGGTGAATTTGTGATTTTAGATCACTAACCTCTGGTGTATTTGAGGTAATCACAGTTGGATCTCTCTTTCTACTCTGAGATTTCCAATTATTACTATTTTTTCCTCGAATTCCAGGGAAAGCAGGGCTGACTGCAAATTGATTAAGTGATTGGTTGATTGATTGATCAATTTCATCATTCCAAAGAAACAAAACTGTTTATAACAGGGATAAATAAACAAATATTGATAACAGGAGAAAGAGCTCTAGCGATTGGGAAAATAAAACACAGGGTGTTCCATTTAAAAAATACCATCTTATGTAAAATGTTTAGGTTTAAGATACTTTTTTTGCATTTTAAGTGAGATAGCTATTGAGTAAAATATAACCAATCAACCTGTACCTACTCAACTACACTGTTTCTACTTTTTTAATATTTCCTGGGGTCTATATTACTTCCTTCAAATGTAGCTTTTGGAATAAGGTTATAAATTCTTATGCTTTGATAAACAGGAGGATTTTGACCTTTTTTTGTTCATAATAGTTTGATTCTGTACACATCAATTGATCTCAAGTTAAAGCTGTGATAGTCTTTAGTTTGCTTCACCTCTACACTTTTTCATGAGTTTATTCTCGATTTTAAATATAAGTTTAGTCTGCTTAAGATTTTTCAGTTGTTCTACTTCCAGGAATGGGTAGTCTTTATACATTATATCTTCAAGATAAAGAAATATAGCCATAGAATATGAATACCAATAACACTGACTTCTGATGTTGGATTCTCCATATTTGATAACAGTTTTAGGAATTGCAGTTGAAGACAGTTCACCATCCACAAAATCTGATTTAACAAAATGGTCTTCACATACTCCATATCCATTCATGTTTTGCATATCAGTGAACTCCTCTCTTCTGATCACCTGCAACCAACTTTTGGACCTGAAATCAACATGTTTTACCATATTTCCATCATTTGAATACCCATATAGTCAAAATTATTACCTTTCAGTCTCTTCAGGAAATGGATATATTTTTTTAATCTGATTTGCTATTTTATAACATGATTCAAAAGCACACACTATAACAGAATTACCTGCAAAAATAATTATGAATAACAATTGTGTTCTAATATTGAAAGTGCACAACATATTTCAATCACAGATGTTCAATTCATTGTTTCTTCTCTCTTTTACTTACTCATGGAATGTTGTTCAATATTTCTAGGTACAGCATGAGGTTTCAGTTTGGACATTGAAACATCTTCATAATCTTGTAGCATGAAATGTTTCTTGCAAACACCAAAACCCTTGGTACTTTCAATGGTTGAATTGATTGATTCAGCTATCAGATCTGATCTACCACAAGTGGTGAGCCATGTTTTCAAGCTGAAAATATTTCGAATTCTTGAACAAAACCTATTTTTTCGTATTACTGCTGCAATAAATATTATAATATATGTGTTCTTGAAAAATATTCAATTAGGAGTATGCCTTCAAATTCGTTCCAAATATGTTCAGCACATACCTCACAAAATTTTTGCATGGCAAAGAAAATAAATCGGAAGGATATCCATTTAGCTTTGCTTTGGTATTACAAAATCTGTGAATACATTGTTTGACATCAGAATTAAAATCCACTCCTAGTGCTGCTTCCCCAAAATACTTAGGATCAACTTTCACTGTGAAAAATAAGTTTGAAAAATACATGTTGTCTTGATGTAGACAAGATTAGACAAGTGGACTCATTTTTTTTTTCAAATTATTATATAGATTCATTTCTCAAATACCTTTCAATTTCATATTTTTTTTTTTAGAATTTATTTGGTGACCATGATGGTACATTTAAGCTCTGAAATTCAACAATTTGGCACAAGGCATAGATTCATTATTTACATGAAAAAGTGTGAGCAGTGTTGGTGAATAATTAAATACCAATATACTTCATTATCAGTCCACTTGCCCAAAAGAATGGGATACCTGGTAAATGTAGAGTAGGAACTGCTCTTTCAGTCAATTCTCTTTGTTCATCAAAACAGTCTGGTTCAAAATGTATCTCACACACCCTGTGCCTCAACAATTCCTTGGCAGACAGTTTCTTAAGGCTCAGATTCTTCAACATATATAGCCATAGATGGAGATTATCATTATTGAGAACTGGAAATGTGAACCTTTTTCCTGCAAGTTGTGTGCAGCCAGGAACACAACACTCAGTATGGTAATGGATACAAGGCATAGCTCCTTTTCTCAGAAATGGCTCATCTACTAATACCTTCATAGGCATGCAGTTAAACAAGAATCAATATTATGAACAAATTCACTTACTTCTGCTTCATTTTGTTTGATGATCTTGAAATTATGCACCACATCAGATTTATCAAAATGCTTTATGCATATCACATCATTGAAGAACAGCTTTTTTGCTTCAATCTTATCAATACACATATCCCATATGTTAAGTAGGGCAATGTTTTCTGGCACTTTGAAAGCATACACTTGCTCATTTTTGTAAATTTTACAGCCTGGTATGACACATGGATTGATTCTAGTAGTATCCACTTTAGAAAACAAAAGATTAGACAATTATAAGATTTCCTGAGAAAAAAAAGGCCACTGACAAGAACTTATTCTCATGTTTGTATACTTTGTATAAGTACAAATTGAAATTCTAAAATGTATATATTTCTTTATGGCTTGGTGGAGCATCATCATCATTTATAGTTTAGAGACAAAAAATATATAGAATGATCAATTTGGGAAGAAACCAGCTCCAAAATTTGGGGGGTAATTATCAGTGGCCAGTTTTCTTTCATGGCAGTAGGTATAATAATAATAATAATAAAACTATGTTCCTCCTTGAATATGGACAACTTTTTTTTGTTAAATCTGAGGTTGGGAAATTATGTTCCTCTTTTCTATAGTTAGGCACCTACCTTCAAGAGATGTTTCTTGTTGATTTGGAGCAGGCACTATATTCACAGAATTTTCTTCAACAACTGGATTGGTTAATTCTCTAACATGGACATCTGAACTGCTTTGAGCTTTAGCAGTAGTAGAGGTACCTTGGTTTGTAACCTTAGCTTGCTCATTGTGAATTGGTTCTACACATTTTTCAATAACTTCAGGAGTTTTTGATGGAATATCTGATTGCTCCACTGCATGAGTTGTGGGGATTGTGTTAAGATTTGATTGGCTTTGAGAAACATTTGGTTCTGTGCTAGTTGTAGCTTGCTTGATTATCAATCCTTTCAATACAACTGGGGCTGCTCTCTTCAATTTTCTCTCATTGCCAGTTTTACCCAAATAAATTTGTTCATTATATGATTTATTTTTTGGAGCAGAATGCAGAACTTTCTCTGCTGGTACATGTTTTTTGACAGTGCTTTCTCCATGACTTTTGATGATGAAAATTGAACTAAGATCAATGCTAGGGGTAGATTTCAACTGTTCTTTTGGTTCAATAATCAATGGTCTTTTGGGGTTACTTTCTTCAATATCCTCAACAATCTGCATTGATTCCAAACCCCTATTGTGAGAGCTTTGTCCTTTTGGTTCAATAATCAATGGTCTCTTGGCATTACTTTCTTCAATATCCTCAACAATCTGCATTGATTCTAAACCACTATTGTGAAAGCTTTGTTCTTTAGGTTCTACAATAAATGGTCTCTTGGCATTATTTTCTTCAATATCCCCAACAATCTGTATTGATTCCAAACCACTATTCTGAAAGGTTTGTATTCCATTTTCATCTAATTCAACTTCCTCTTCCAAAATCAAAGAATGTTCTGTTATATCCATGAATTCTTCATTTTCTGCAATATAATTATGCCTTTGATTTGTTATTTAAAATTACAGTGATGTAATGTATGTACCTTCCTTCAAAGTATCTATAGCAAGATCTATAGTTTCTGTGGTTCCTACAGACACAAACTGTACTTCTTCACTTTCATCTACTTCAAATTCAATATTAGAATTACATAAAAGTCCTAAAAAATTAAAAACATATATACCTGATTATTACATACTATTTGTGGAATAAATTGTTACCAGTATCCATTTTAACTAATTTTCTTCCAAATTTTCATATTTAAATTATTATCATAAATTATATCAACTTCTGACAGGACGTTCTCTTCTTCTTCAATCTTCTCTGCCCTATACTATTGCCATTGCCCTCTGCCGCTCTGCCTCTGCCTTGGCCTCTGCCCACAAAATACTCAAATCTCAAATTCTCAAATGTCTCAAATATTCTTCTTATTTATTTGGACCTTCGGCAGCAATAAAAGCAACCCACAACCTGTCCATAATCATGTTATCCCATTGCCAAATCTGAAGCTGTGACGTGGCTGTGACCTGTAACTGAAATATGCCTTAAATAATACGAATAAGAAGATGAGCATTTTGACTTTTGACTTTGATGTTTGACAATCGTTCAATTCCATTTTCCATTTCATTCATTTTCATTTTCATTTGCTCATTTGCCATCGAGATCGTTAGTTCGTTGGTCCATTTTGATAATTTATGTTTCGTAAACATTGGAAGAAAAACCTTGAGGCTATTTTCAGTTTCAAAATGTGGTGGATAGTTTATTTTTGATCGTACTGACAATTTCTCATAATGTGTAATCTGTGTAATCTATGATCAAACTTGAAGCCGTAGGCCATGAACTATGGCAGTGCTAGTGTCCAATATAAGTGGTCATATTCAAAATCAGTTGACTAGGTCCTTAGAAAGAATACTAGAAGAGGCGAACCAAAGTGGCGAGCTTAAACTGAGCAACAGAAAACTGAAAGACTTTCCAAAGACTGGTGATAAGTATAATTTGAGCGACACTGTGATTGCAGGTATGTGGTTTGTGCACACATCTTGGGCAAATATGGAAAGTTTGACCTGATATAATTTTATTCATTTGTTGATAATCAGATTTTGTAATGTTGTAATACAGTGGCGATTCAAGAAATTAAGGGCGGGGGGCACACCATCACTAGGCGACGACTAGTCGGTAAAAAATGCACAGGTCGGTGCTTCTGGGTTGAAAAAGGGGCGCTAAGAACGATATGTTGGCAAGGGGCGGGGGGCATACTGCCCTCTTTGTCCCTAGTGGCGCCGCCACTGCTGTAATATCCAGTCTTGATAAATCCTTGATTAAAATACCCTATTACCACCTATTACTAACCTATAGGTACTCAAGCATTGCCAATCTAAATACAACATAGTTAGGTAGTTAGTAGGTAAGAGCTTTAATAACTATAATAACAAAAGATATTAATATGTGTTGTTTGTGCCAGGGTTTGTGCCACAGGATGCATAGAGATAAGACACATAACTTAAATGTAGGTTGTAACATATGTAATGGATGTAATGGAATTCCGCACGATAAATCAATAAAATTGTGCTGAAAAGTTACTTTTCCACACAATTTTTGTACTTTTGAAAAAGAGGATATTTACAACTAAAACTAAATGATCTATGTAACTATTCTGTCATATGTGTCATTTTGGTCACATTTTTAGGAATGATATAATTCATTTATTCATTATCATTTATGGTAGGAGAAAAATATCTTTTCCAATTTCCACCCAGACGGCTTGCCCGAACTCCGCTCCACGTCGTTTAATTTCATATTGAGTTATTTGAATGAAATTTATCAAAACCACTCAATACCCATAACTCATGAATATGTAGATAATTAAATAAATACACCTAGAAATACAGGAAAAAAACTGAACCCATGCACCTGCTAGATAGGTTTAGTACTCTGTTCAGTAGGTACCGTGGTTATTTAGTGTTTTTTAATAGGCACCAGAAGGTGAAGATGAAAGATAATACACCTGGCATCTGTTAAATGTGGCTGTAACGAATCCAAGGAAGTTTCAACTTTTGCGGAATTGGTTTCCAACTTTCAAGTGACAGTACATATATTATGTGGTACATATTAATGGCATCACCCTGTAGTTCTTAAATACCAACATATTATGTATCTAAATAATCTACTACCTTATGGATTGTGGATGAATTGAAAATCAATAAATCAATAGATGCCTTAGTGATCTAGTAGTTTTAGTCATTGTTGAATAATGAATTGTGGATGAATTGAAAATTAATAAATCAATAGATGCCTTAGTGATCTAGTAGTTTTAGTCATTGTTGAATAATGAATTGTGGATGAATTGAAAATCAATAAATCAATAGATGCCTTAGTGATCTAGTAGTTTTAGTCATTGTTGAATAATGAATTGGGGAAAATCCCATTCTTATCTTTTATCAGTTTATGCAAGAGTTGATGATAATAATGATAGGTAGGTATTTATACTTATACTTATATTATACATGGTAGGTATGAACTATAAAAAGTGCATTTTCCGCGAAAAGTTCATTATGTACCTAGTATAATATTTGAGTCTTTGCTTAAGATTTTAATAGATTTTCTGTTATGTAGGTATTTGCTTCAAAGTTATCAACTTGGTATGGCGTCACCTTTTTCTTTTTATTAAAAAAATCACGTCTCCAAGTTACTTATTTCAGTCAGGTTCTATAAGTTGGGTGCACCCCGTTTCTGAGAAAGATAAACCATGAGAAATTAATTTTTCATCTATTTCTGTCCGGAAGGATGAGTGCATTTTTAATTGAGAAGTAGGTATTCCTATTTTCACTATTTGTGCGTTTGGTTCTCTACTAAGGATATTTGATGTGAAAGAGGCTCAACTGCTCAACCCAAAATCTGACAGTAATTCAATCATGATTTCAGCTCGTCATCTATATCACAAATATAATTATTCAACTCAGAATAAGGTAGATATTTATGGTGAAAATATAAAATCTGTACATGAATTTATACAAACATTTTCCCTCACTTATATGAAGGCCGTGTCTAGAACCACGCTAACGTGGATCTTGTTTTCAGAATTGGGTAGATTTATAAATGAATAAACTATCATGGATTGATCACAAAGGAGTTCTTCACAAACTCACTCACTTCTCTGGAACACCGTTGAAAAGTTGGCGATCTGGCTCTGTTTTATAGATATTTTCATAAAAGATGCTCTTCTGAAATATCATCAATTGTTCCTACCTTGGTAATCCCCGCGAGATTAACCCGTCGCGTTGACGCTTTGCACCCCTTCGTGGTCACTTGAGATCTGATCACAAGAGCAAAGATCACAATATTTTGGCATAAGATTTGTGTTCTTTTTCAGGTAAATAGCAATCTCACATAGTTTTCATAATGAAATTTTTTCATTTCTTATTAAATTTCCTTCTGCCACTTCTGCAATAGAAGCTAAAATACTGCTAATAGATTGAAAATGTCTACAACACACACGATGATATTTCGTCAGTATGTCAGACCAGTCCTCCCGTTTGATTGCATGAATCCCATATTCTTGCATTCTTTCAGAAATTTCACGAGTATTTCTATTAGCTCCTATTGCGAATTCCGATGAGAAATCAGAGAAATTACCAAATTTCAAATTGAAAACTATATGTGAGTGTCTATAGTAGGTACTTAATTTTGAATTATAATGTACCAACCGGATTCCTTCGTCTCCCGTTGCATTTTTTGTGCATTGCAACAGCACAATGTGATGGCATGCACGATTTAATGAATAGCCGAAAAACACGATTCATATGCCAAAATAATTGTGAAAAACTATTTCAATCACTTGTAAACAAGCAAGAAAAGTGAGGTTGTGTTTCAATATTTCACATCCAGGGTCGGTCATCTGACAGTTCTTGCACGCAACCCATAGGAATGTTAAGCTATTCGTACATTACAGACTCTTTTCTGCAGTTCGATTGCATGCAATATAAGTTGCGGATTAAAAGTGAAAATCGCCTTCATACTTTTCAGCCTTTTTACTGTAGTTTTCATTCCAAGACTTTTTTGACATTTCATCAAATACACACAGTTTAGATGAGGTTAGATGGTGTCTCATCTGTGTACCTAACTATTATTTTGTACTGTGCATCGTTCCAAAATGAATATTGAAAAACAAAAAGCTGTTCTACGTTTATAACAGTCACTGCTGTTCGTGCCACTTATATTAAAAGACGTATTGAAAATCGAAGGAATAGAACTTGTTGAAAAAAACATGGTTAAATACAAAAATGGGGAACTTGAGGATCATGAATGAATTCATAGATTGTAATGACTTGAAAGCCTTCAAAAATTACCTGCGTATGTTGGTAAAATCATGAAATAACCAGAAATATGCAAAGTTGCATGTGAATGACCTCGAAAATTAGAATCTTTTCTAATTTTCGTCAAGCCTAAAAGTTGCATCAAAACAATCCGACAGGCATGCGCAGTTGATATTTGAAAAAGTCCAGCAATCGAATTGCAGGCAATTTCTGGAAGAAGTCTGTACGAATAGCTCAAGAAATAAATCTAGGGTTATCACGAGCGGAACTGAAGTGCGCCCACTTATACGTTTTTGGTTATGGCTGGCTGGCAGTGGCACCAGGCGGGAGACTACTCCATCTAGAAGGCGTGTTTCCTCTCTTTGAATGCAAACAATAGAAAAGAAAATTATGGGAACAGACATCCCTCCGACAAGTGTACCTAGTCAAGTCATCTTTGATTACCATCGTATCCCTTTGTTTTACCTGCTGGCTTCCAGTATCATTGTTTTCATCCAACAAACTAATGAAAATTATTTCAATTCTCGTGCAGTAAGTTGCTGAATAAGAAACCAAACTTCTGACTGAAAGCGAGTCAAACTAATATCATGAGAGCTGAAATTATTTCCGGAATTTTTATATGAGGTCACGAATATTTTGAAAATTATCCTTCAAGTATAAATCAAACCTGACCTTATATATCGATTTCAATGTGTGCGAAATTGGCCAAGTAATAATTGAATTCGATGCAGTATTATTTTTTATTAATCACAAGCTTTTATTCAACCCTTTGCGGCAGCATTCAGAAAAAAACATTCTTTGTGTATTATTCTGAGTTCTCTGATACAAAATTGACTAAATAAGCAACGTGTATTTTTTGGGCATCTTTATTTCAGTATTTCTATAAAAAAATGTGGTATATAACTTATACCACAAAGCAAACAACAAACAAAATCAATTATTTTTATGGGAATTTCGAAAAAAGTTTCTTTCGTCGACCCCAACAAAAAATCCTTGAATTCGTTATGATAATCCCTAAACGATTATGGAATGAAATACTGGGCGTTCCATTAAAAAATCAGACAAACCGCAAGTACGCCAAAGCAAGTAGATATGCCAAAAAGCGGCAATTGAACAATAATTCACAGCCCCCAAATTTGGTATTACTGCCTCCAATAATAAAAAAGATATAGGGGTGAGCAACTCACCCGGTATATATGTAATCCTTTATCAATTTTATAGGTGATAGGTTTTATGCAAGTAACATGAAGCAATTTTGAATTTATAGTATGTGGTTGTAGATAAATTAGATAAGACGGCAATGTTTATAAAAAATTTCCGCTCAATTATCATCTCACCTAGAAAAAGTTTCCGGAAAAGATATTGATTGCCATGCTAATAAATCAAAAAGAAGCCATTTTATTGGTTTTGAGGTAGACATGTGAAAATTTCATGAAAACATCCGTAAAATTTACCAAAATTAACTCGAGAGGAGAATACAATCTTGCAATGTTTTCTGAATAACTACGTATTCATTCTGAAATACATTCTATATACATTCGGACTGCAACTGAAAAAATACACTATACAGGGTGTTTCAAAAAAACCTAACCCCCTTGCTAGGGTAGGTAGAACATAGCAAAATAAGTCGGGTTTGCTTAGTAAAAAAATGTCGTAACGCCATCCGTTTTCAAGATACAAGGTGTTGAAACAATTTTTGTTTTGC